CACATGTATTTTCAGGCCTTTTACTTTTTCCTTTTCATGAAATGCCTGTTGATGTTCTTTGTTCAGTTTTCTTTAGGGTTGTTTATCTTTTTCTTATTGATTTTTAGGAGTTCTTTGTATGTTTTGAATTTTAATAATTTATTATTTATACATAAATCTAAAATTTAAAATATATCCCTCTACTGAGAGGTAAGGGGAGACAGCTATTTTACTGGGATGACTGGATATCTTCATTCCAAAGAATGAAATTGGATTGTCTATCTTATGCCATCTACAAAAGTAAGCTCAAAATAGATCAAAGACCAGGGTGTCGCATGTGGCTCAAGGAGTAGTGCCCTGGCCCCATATGCCAGAGGTGGCAGGTTCAAACCCACCCTGGCCAAAAAAAAAAAAAATCGATCAAAGACCCAAATGTAAGAGCTAAAACTTTAGAACTTTTAAAAGAAAACTGGGATTAGTTTTCATGATCTTGGGTCAAGCAGTAATTCTTAGTTATGACTTCCTAAGCACAAGCAACAGCCAATAAATATTAGATCAATCAGACTTTATGAAAATTTAAAACTTTTGTACATCAAAGGATGTCATCAAGAAAGTGAAAAGTCAGCCTGCAAAATGAGATATTTGTTGGTTTTTTTTTTTGTTGTTGAGACAGAGCCTCAAGCTGTCCCCATGGGTAGAGTGCTATGGCATCACAGCTCACAGCAACCTCCAACTCCTGGGCTTAGGCAATTCTCCTGCCTCAGCCTCCCAAGTAGCTGGAACTATAGGTGTCCACCACACTGCCTGGCTATTTTTTTGTTGCAGTTTGGCCGGGGTCAGGTTTGAACCTGCCACCCTTGCTATATGGGGCTGGCACCTTACTCAGTGAGCTACAGACGCTGCCCCCCCCACCCCCCTTTTTTTTTTTGAGACAGAGTCTCACTATGTTGCCCTGGGTAGAGTGCTGTAGTGTTATTGCTCACACCAATCTCAAACTCTTTGGCTTAAGTGGTTCTCTTGCCTTAGCCTCCCAAGTAGCTGGGACTACAGGTGCCCACCACAATGTCTGGCTATTTTTTTTGTTGTTGTTGTTGTAGTTGTTGTTGTTTAGCAGGCCCTGGCCGGGTTTGAACTTGCCAGCCCCAGTGTATGTGGCCAGTGCTCTAACCATTGTGCTACGGGTGCTGAGCTGTAACACTCATCTTAAGTAGCTCAAAATCACCCATATCTTTGATCCTCCTCTTTTATCTTACACATACTCTTTCTGTATTTTATATTAATCTGTCATTTTGTTTTTCTTTATAGTTTTATCACCTTTATATACCATTAAACAATACATAGTTGAACCTCTATAAGTTGATCGTCTAGGGGACTGTAACAAACTGGTCAACATATGGAGGTTGTAAGCATAAGGAACTAGAGCTGATGTACTGATATATACATGTAGTGGATGTCCAGTCTATGAAAATTAGGTCAACTTAAGAAGAT